AATAAACCAGAAAATACAGAGATAGGGCCAAAATTACTAATGTAGCTTGCAGAAGCCTGAGGTTTGGGATGTATGCTATATATGAGGTTAGGACATCCAAATACTCAAGTGGCTGCTGAGATGAAACCGTTAACTAAGATGAAGGCACTATCTGGCCTCTACCACTGGTCTCACTCACCTTTTCATCTTTTCTTCTACTTATTCTCCACTTTGGACACTGCTCTCAACAAACCCTCTTATGTTCTTCTGCTTAGAAGTCTCTGTTCCTGTTGCCCTTACCACCTGGAATGCCATACTTCATCTCTGTTCTTTGCCTCTCCAAATTCACCCCCATGTCCCTTCAAGGGCCACTTCACATCTCCAAGAATCTGAATCAGAAGAAACTTCTCTCCCCTCTGAATAATTATTTATGACACTGCTTATACTCTATTGCTTACTGTTCAATACTGAGTTATCACTTTGAGTATTTCCCTTTTGCCTAATAATATGCACACCTAGGTAGGGACAGGACTTTGCTTTATGATTCTGTCTATCTTTACAGTATGTCTTACTCAGTAAAAATACTTACTGTCTTGCTAATAAATTTAAATATATGATAAAATAATTTAGGGGTTTCTGGAAGGATGTAAATAGATTTAAAATAGCTCAATAACATAAAATTATGCAGGAAGGGGTGTATGATGCACTTATGTAATGCACAAGTTTTATTGATTCCTTTGGCATTAATAGCATGAAGAACTCAATTCTAATTGCTGTAATTAAGGATGATGTCAAGAAGAGGAATGCCTGGTGACTAAGAAGTCACCTTAGCCAGTCACCTGTCTGACACCTTATATGTATCTGATTATAAGACTGGAACACCTTTTTACTGATGTGTGTGTGTGTATTTCATGAGCATTTTCAAAACTGGGTCCTGTGTATGTATTGCCATAAAATTCATCATCTGAATTGGGACCATTTGAGAGTCATCCCTGGGGGAGAACTATTAAATTCTTTCCAGGACAACAGGCATAAGCCAGGACTGTTTATCTTATGATTTTACTATATGGGTTAAAGAAACAGCCCACATCATAGACAAAGTTATTCTTTTGACTGGCCAGAGGTAGCTTCTTTCAATAACAAAAGAAACCACATTATTGAAGTTTATCATGGATTTTCTTCATGAAACTATTGCATGCTAGGACTTAGAACCTCTAAAGAAACTTCATTATCAATAAGCTAGCCAGGAGGCCTGGGTACAGGGCATTCTGAACCCACTGCCTAGACTGCACACAAGCAACATTGGATGTGAGGATAAAATGACAAAAGACAATCTACACCGTGTCAGCCCTTCAGTGAAATTTCATGAACATCCAGGGTGCAGATTTTAATGTTTTCTTAGCCTCATTTTTTTCCATTTCCCTCACAATGTTTATGTTGATGAAGTCTAGTCTCCAAAACTCTAACTCAGCCCTCAAACCCCTTTTTGGTAAAGGAAATGTTTCTCTCACCAGGTGGTAGATTTTGTTATTAAAAAAAAAAAAAACCTACATGTGTTGGGGTAGGGTGTATATAGGAACTCTCTGTACTTTCTACTCAATTTTGTTATGGACATAACAGTGCTTTGAAAATAAAGTCTGGGCTCGGCGCCTGTGGCTCAAGCGGCTAAGGCGCCAGCCACATACACCTAAGGTGGCGGGTTTGAATCCCCAGCCTGGCCCGCCAAACAACAATAATGGCTGCAACCAAAAAATGGCCGGGCGCTGTGGCGGGTGCCTGTAGTCCCAGCTACTTGGGAGGCTGAGGCAGGAGACTCACTTGAGCCCAGGAGTTGGAGGTTGCTGTGAGCGTAATGCCATGGCACTCTACCCAGGGGGATAGCTTGAGGCTCCGTCTCAAAAAAAAAAAAGAAAATAAAGTCTGTTCATATTAAAAAGAATTCAGAATCCTATACTCACTACTTCTGAGGGAAAGAACTTAAAAAATGAGTGAGGACCTCAGAGGAAGGTTCTGAAATGGGCTCTTATGATGACTATGGGAAACATTAAACTTAAGTATGTGCAAGGCAGTGTTTGATGCACTTTACATCTATGAACCCATCTGCCATTCACAGGACCCCATGGGGGAAACACATTACTGCCAGCTGCAGTTACAGAAGAAAGTGGGGCACAGAAAGGTATAGTACTTGCCCAAAGTCACAAGGTTAGGAAGGATGGAACCAGGATTCCAGCACCAGCAGCAGAAGTTTCAAAGCCAGTTGCTTACAACCATGCCCCAGGGACACAGAATAAGGGAAGTGACAAATTTAGAGAATTGCCAATTTTGCTCCAAGAGCATATTACCTGTTCTGACCACTGCAACCTGCTATCTCCGAGTACCCTGAGGACTTTCACAGATTAGAAAATCCTGCTGAGAGATAGTTCTACTTGAATAAAGTCCTGGAGTTTTAACTATCCCAGGTGAGTGGGTACAGGCCTTCTCCCTTCTCTTTGTAACAAGGAACTTACTCTGAAAATATTTTTGGAAATTCACTTTACAGCCATGTCCCAACACATGGTTATCCTAGGCCAAGGCTCACCAAATCCTCAATCCCAACCGGCTGCTAAACTTGAAGCCAAAAATAAGTCCAGTCTCTCTCCAAAATGGCCTCCCACAGAAATGCTTTATAGAATAAAATGATATAATTAAACAGAATGTGGCAAGAGCCCAAGGAGAGGGGAGGGAACAGAAACCGGAGATAAATAAGAAAACAGTTCCATGTGTTAGAAAATGAGAATGGATCGTTTTTTCAGCCAGCCAGAGCCGCAAAGAAGATGCATGTGTCCTTTCATGCTTCCTCCTCTGCATGGGCTCAATCTGTACCTCTTTTTGAGCCTCTGTGACACAACTGTGTTTTAGAATTCCTGAACTGGACAGATGTCCTTTTTTTGGGAACTCTTGGCTGAACCTATGTTCCTGAGATGTGAGAGAAAAAAATCCACTTGCACAATGGTGAGCCCATCTGCGACCTACTCCCAACAGCTGCTTTTTCTGGCTCTGAATCAAGCTGGAGAAATCATCCCAGATCTCTGGAGCCATGTCATGCTTTTCAAGGCCTAACAAGGCATCTCAGTCTTCTTTAGTAAACACAGGCAGAAGCAAACCTGTCTTGGGCTGGGCCTATTTCCCTAGCACACATGTAGCAGGGTGTATGGTCACCAAACAGCACTACTTAAAGAACCAGAAAATTGTGAATCAGGACCAAATGTGTTTATAGGTTTGTGTGCATACATACACATGCACACACTCCAAATGACAAATCTATTTTTAAAAGTTTATTTTAATTGACAAATAAAAATTGTATATATTTATGGTATATAACATTTTTATGTACATATACAATGGAATGGCTAAATCAAGCTAGTTAACATATGTATTATCTCACATATTTACCTGGCAACAGATCTAAAGCTCTTTTCTGGAAATCCAAACTGTAAAACCAAGAATCAGGACCACGGGGATCCCTCACTAATGCTTTGGTACCTACAGCCTGGGTTTTTATTTCCCAAGATGGAAGAGAATATAGAGGAATAAACACTGAGATGAAACTTTTTTCTTTTCTTCCTTTCTTTTTTTAAGGTAACATGACAACTAAATGAAAAAATACAGCAATGGCAGAGGATTCTTTCTTTCCCTTCACTCTGATATACCATGGGTGTGGGTTCTTTCAAAGGTAGACACAAAGGATCAAGGGCTACATTCAGCCTAAGAGGCTATTTCTATCCACACTCTGGGTTTTCTACACTTTTGGAATGGGCTTTAAGAATTTCTGCAGATATATCTCATGCAGTGATTTCTTGTCCAGAGCTGATCAGCCTTCAAAGGATGCTATTTGGTCATACACCATGAAACTTGAGCCGGTCCAGCCCATTCTTCCTTGTTACAATCCTGAAATGCGCTGGAAAAAAATTAACACTGCTACAAACACTATCTCTCTTCTCTGGCTAAATTGTTCCTTGTTTCATCTCCTGCTCTTTCTCTTCCAGTCCTTCTGTGTCTTGGTAGGGTGGCTCTGTCTGCCCTACAGGAGTTACATTTCAAGTCACTTAAGTGTTCTATTCTTGGTAAACCACATGCCATTCCAAAAGCAGTTTCAGGCACATAGAATTTTAGCACTTGGCCCAGTTCCATGGCCGGATAGGGTGAGTGAGTGAAGAATCAGTCTTGATTGAAGGCCTATAGAGTGCTAGGCACTGTTAGTGTTTACCAGAGTTACTTAATCTTCTCATCAATTACCATTGTTACCCCCAGTTGCCAAATGAAGAAATCAGGACGCATGCTAAAGGTTAAGTAGTCTGCCCACAGCTATACAACCAGCAGAAGCCTCAATTCCAGGTTCTACTTCAAAGGCTACATTCTCCCGGATGGCTTCAACCTGTGTTAAGAGCTGGAAGGATACTGGGACAATAACAGAGGTCTGTACTGTACAGCATGATCCTGTCCCTAGCTGAAAGGGGATAGAGGCCACAGCCTACACATCTCTTCGTCTTGGGCAAGAGATTCACAACCCTCCCTCTTTCCCCGGGCAAGAGACTCACAACCCTCCCTCGTTCCCTGGCACCAACCTAAATTTCTCCCTTTGCGTCAAGGGCTACAAGTGAGTCAGTCGGTCGGCCTGGCTCCACAAGAACCCCGAAGCTAAGCTACCAGCTGACCTCTGTCTTCCAAACCCTAGACGACATCTGACCTTAGCCAGGCCCCCAAAACAGATTGCGGTCACAATTGCCTCCGTCTTCAGCCCACTCCCATCAACATCAGACATAACCCAGCTACTAGCCCTTTGGGCTGGCTTTACCCAATGGCGCCTTGGCCCATAACCTAAGACGTTAAATGTAACCAATTGTCAAGTAGCTCTCCGCTAAGTAACACCACCTCCATTCTGAGGAGCAGCTCCGCTGACCAATGAACTGCCCTCCAGGTGCAATGAGCGCGCGGGACGAGTGGAGTAGCTGCTGAGCTGCCCAATGAACAGGCTGCTTTCCGTGGCTAAGGGCGTGGCAGAAGCGGTCGTCAGGGGCGTGGCAGCGGTTGCTTGGGCGGGGCCGGTAGCGGCGGGAGCTGCACTGACCAGGGTTCCGGCTGTATATCCATGAGCGCCGCCGGCAGCCGCGGAGCTGCAAGAACAGGACTTAGGGCGAGCTGGGCAGCTGTAGTCAACCACACAAAGGTAAAGCCAAAGCCGAGCGAGCTCCGCGGGGTTGGGATCACGCCTTGAATCCGTCGGGCCAGGTCCGCGAGTCTCGAGGTCCCCAGCATGATTCGGCGCATCGCTCCGCAGCCTGCGCGTCCCGCATCCTCGGGGATGCTCGGTGGCCTGTCACCTGGTCCCGCAGGGGTCCTGAGGGCTGGCTTTCCCAGTGGTTTGGAAAGCCCAGATCGCGGGTGGATACGTCTTCCCGAAGGCCCTTTGTCCCCAGCTGCCGGAGGAACTGAGGTTGTGGACAACCCCGACGCGGCCTCTCTAGCTGCCACCCCACCCCCCACCATCCGCGGGTACTCTTGGGCTTCCGGGGTCCGGGGAGGGATTGCTAGTCCAGGCTTGGTGAAGAAGTCCGAGGGCCGCACCTAGAAGAAGTGGGCTGCCGGGCCTTACTACAGTCGCGGAAACCCGAGGGGCCTCTGCGTTTAGAGGCTCCAGGGTCGCACGCAGGACCGATAGGTTAAAGTTCTAGGCAGGCAGCTTTTGACCAATTTGGAAGCGCGCTTACTGAGCTCTGCTTTGTGCAGGGGATTGTACTAGGGGCGCTTCGTGGGCTTTCCCCACGAGAGCTGTCCACTAGTGCAGGAGGCTGTCTGCAAGGCGAGGCAGCCGGCGCCTCGACCTTGGAAGTGTCCAGGCAGAAACCAGATGATAGCCACCTGTCAGGGATGCTTAGAAGGACTCCCAAGAGAGAACTGCATAACCCATCTGTAAGGCCATTCTATACCCACAGATGCACTTTGGGTAGACTTTAATACCTAGCTTGAGAAGGATACTCCTAGGGGGGTCCATAAGGTTCAGAGTGAATGTTGAGTTCATCTTTATGAATTTTGAGGTTTCGGCTCTTGGGAATGGGTGTTAGCAAAGAGAGTAAGATTATACATACCAAAAAATAGAGGTTTATTTTGCCACTGTGAAACTCTAATTCGAACTACCAAGGACCACCTCTCTCAGTCTTCCTAATTCCACTATTTTGGTTACCTGCATTCCAGTAACCAAATCCAAAGGCAGGTTCCAACAACAGCCTTGGGAGAGGGAGCTGAAGAGATTGCAGGTTTGGCAGAGTCCACATTGATCTGTGCCCAGAGCTTTTCCAAGGCCATTTCATTACAACTACATTAAGTAGATCCCAAAGAGAAACCATCTATTCCCCTTCACTACCCTCTGTCATTTGCCTGAATAGAGAGGACATGATACTCTTCTAAAGGTCAGGACATAGAGAAAGAATCTTTTTTTTTTTTTTTTTGAGACAGAGCCTTAAGCTGTCCCCCTGGGTAGAGTGCCATGCCATGGCAACACAGCTCACAGTAACCTCCAACTCCTGGGCTCAAGAGTGTCTCCTGCCTCTGCCTCCCAACGCCCGGCTATTTTTTGGTTGCAGCCATCATTGCTGTTTGGCGGCCAGGCTGGACTCGAACCTGCCACCTTAGGTGTATGTGGCTGGCGCCTTAGCCACTTGAGCCACAGACGCCGAGCCCAGAGAAAAGAATCTTACCACAACTTGCTGCCCATTTTAGGATGAATTAACCTTTGAATGGCTGCTCAGAAAACATATCAGTATGTTTAGGTGGGCATGGCCTTCTGACATTTTATAACTGAAGAAAATCTTAAATAAAGCTCATGCACAGATGAGCAAACTGAGACCTGAGATGGTCATGGGGCTGGCTGGTTATTACAGAGCCATGACCAAGGATAGATCTCTTGACCTAGCCAGTGCATAATATTTTACCTCCAGATTAGTTCTTTCTCTGGTGTTTAAGTCTTAGGGGAGCCCTCTTACGATCTTGGTCAAGTTACTTAACCTCTCTGTGCCTCTGTTTCCTTATCTATGAAACAGGAATGATATGATACATAGGTTAGAAGGTGGTTTTGAGGAGTGCATGAATGAGTTCCTGTACCTTCATTTAGAAGCATTTAGAACAATGTCTGGCACATGGTAGCCCTATAGATTTGCTAAATATATCTTTTGCCTTTTTACATAGTTTTACTTCTCATCCACCACTTAATATTTTCTATCAGGCACTAATTTTCCCTTGCCCCTCCCCCCCAATCATTACATATATTCCAGGTTTTCTTTTAGCACCAAAGTCTGCAGGGATTTCCGAGTCATATTGCATTTTATGTCTTATTTATTTTTCTATCTTTCATTGATTCAGGTAATTCAGTTATCTCTGTTAGTTCCCCCCTTGTAGTACACTCTTTTTAGACTCCAGACCTTTTTTATTCTGTCTAAAAAGGGAGGGGGAATCCCTCAAAGAGGTAAACAAAGTCCCTGATGATACCAGTATCTATGGGGTCCTGCTAAATATGTGTTCCCTCTGTTCAGCTCTTCTCCACAGTGGTCAGTGTGATGGAACCTGGTTCTAAATGGAGGAACATTTTTAGATTAAGATTTCATGAGCTACTGTATTAAGTGCTTTTCGGAAGTTCAGGGATCATGTGTCAAATGCATTTAAGCAAATTACTTAGTCATTGGAGTAGGGGAGCACCAGCTGCCCCTGAAGAATCAAAAACAAAAGTGAGTGACTGATCCTTGCTGGTAATCTAGCTTATTCACTGGTTTATGTGTATTTTTTTCTTGTTCTTTTTCAGAGCTTGAAATAAACCAGTGGAATAGTCTTTTTCTTCTCATTTTAGTCAGGATGGTTCCCTTTCTTCCCTTTTTACTTTCACCTTCATTTCCTTTATCACCTTTACAGTGATAAACAGTCACTCTCAGTTTGCCAGCCAATTTCCTTCTGATGGAAAGAATGCCTGTTGCTGGGCACGGTGGCTTATACCTGTAATCCTAGCACTGTGGGAGGCTAAGGAGGGAGAATTGCTTGAGCTCAGGAGTTCGAAACTTGACTGAGCGAGAGTGAGACCCCAACTTGTAAAAAAAATGGAAAAACCCAACTGGGCACCTGTAATCCCATCAGCTTCCAGAGGCTGAGGCAGTGGGATGCCCACAAGCCAAGTCTGAGGTTATAGCGAGCTATGACGTCGTTGCAGTCTGCTCAGGGCATAGGGTGGGACTCTGTCTCAACAACAGCAGCAACAACAAAATGCCTGTCCCTTTAGTTTTCGCAGGATCCAGTCACCTCTGGTTTTCCCTTCTCTGTTTTTACCTGTTTTCTAGATTGAATTAAAGCTTATCACTGTTCATTGACTGGTATCTTTCGATTCATTTTCTTAAGAGTTGATTCTGAGTTTTGCTTTTTTGTTTAGGCTATTCTAGAGACCAGCCATTTGAGATTCATAGTTTTAGTTTCTTTGCTTATATATTAATAAGGGCCCCTTTCTCTCTATCTTGCTGTCTTTTCTCATAATATTTCAGTAGAAGGGTTTTGCGTTCATTGTTATTTCTTGCTTTGTCCACTTAAACCTTCTTCCATGATCTCTGGCAGGACCCTCAAAAAGTATGGTGGTTCCTACTTTCCTTGCCCAGAGCATAAAATAATTTCTTTAGTCCTGTAGAAGACAGAAACAGAGTCTGTCTTATTTTTTGCCTAAAATCTGGCTCTTTAAAAGCCCTGGCAGAGAGACACCACCAACATAAAGGAATTCCACGTGGTAAAATTTCTGCCATGACGTATTGCTTACAATGTTCAGATTTTTATTGCATGGTGGGTTTTGTGTACTCCTTGATCAGTTTAAGAGTACAGATGACATGAAGCATGAGGTACCTAAGCCTTCCTATTTCATTTTGGGCCAACTATCCCCAGGAACAGAGCAATGAAAGTGCAGGGTGCCTCTTGATGTGGTCTGGTGGTAGATTTTACAGCAGCTTTTCATGGGACAGCTTTTTTGTCCAGAGCATGATTAGGATGTTTTTAACCTCTGTGCTGCTGTTTCCACGTTGATATCACAGAGGTGATGACATTATCCCCCTTAAGGATTACTTTCAGATCTGTAGATTTATTTTTGCTGTCTTGGTTCCAAAGCAGCACATTTTTGAATTAAACACCTTGTGTTTATAAAATGGCTGGTGTAGACAGATGAAGCCCACTACTGTTACCCATGAAGCCTATGCACCGGGCCAGTTGGGTGAAGGACATGTTACATGCTGAACCATTCTCTGATGTTTTGTAATAGCTAAGTAGCAGACAAAGAGCTTATTAGAGAATTGGAAAATTGATACTCTGGGGTTTGCCTGGTTTCTGATTTTCTTTTGTTATCTGTGAGTGGAAGTTCATTACAAATTGAGCATCTGGTGTGTGCCAGGAACACAGTTGACCAGATTAACAAGTGTGTTTGGTTTGTTGCATGAAGAATTTTTTTTTTTTTTTTTTGCAGTTTTTGGATGGCACTAGGTTTGAACCTGCCACCGTCAGTATATGAAGCTGGTGTCCTATTCCTTGAGCCACAGGCACTGCCCATGAAAACCGTTTTTGTCTTTAAATTGTTTTTGTTTAAACTTCACTAAAATTTTAATGTTTCTAATTCAAATTTTATTTTTTAAAAATAGGTAATACAGGCTCGGCGCCTGTGGCTAAAGTGGCTAAGGCACCAGCCACATACACCTAAGGTGGCAGGTTCGAATCCAGCCTGAACCCGCCAAACAACAATGATGGCTGCAACCAAAAAATAGCAAAAAAAAATAGCCAGGCGTTGTGGCAGGTGCCTGTGGTCCCAGCTACTTGGGAGGCAGAGGCAGGAGACTCGCTTGAGCCCAGGAGTTGGAGGTTGCTGTGAGCTGTGATGCCACAGCACTCTACCCAGGGGGACAGCTTGAGGCTCTGTCTCAAAAAAAAAAAATAGGTAATACATTTGCATAATAAAAATATTTGAAAGGCCTACAAAGTTAGCTAGTAAATACAACTCTGTCCACCTGACCACTGCCATCTAGTTCTGATTCATCAGAGACAACCCATGTTACTGATTTTGTCATCCTCCACGGGTGATCCATGTACTTCCAAAGTGTTTTATACATTTATAAGCGAATTCATTATGAATATTCTGCACACCCCCCTTTTTATGCAAATGGT